TAAGAGGGGCTCCAAAGCTGGAGGCAGTGCTCCAGGTGGGGTCTGGGATCTGGGAGGGACAGGCTGCCCAGCAGCTGCTTCTCTGGACACTGAGTCTTCCCTGCAGTGCTGCCTTAGTCTGTTATCATAGAATATTTGGGGTTGGAAGGGACCTCTAAAGGTCATCTAGTCCAACCCCCCTGCAATAAGCAGGGACATCTCAAGCTGCTCAGAGCCTCATCCAGCCTGATGTTGAATGTCCCCAGGGATGGGGCCTCCACCACCCCTCTGGGCAACCTGTTCCAGGGGTTTATCACCCTCATATGAAAGAACTTTTTCCTAATGTCTAACCTAAATATGCCCTTTTCTAGTTTAAAGCCATTACCCCTTGCCCTGTCAAGAAAACCAAACCCTTTTTATGCTACCCAGGGCTGCTACATTTTGTAGGTTGAATTTTACAACAGTGTTTTCCATCAAACCCACCAGTATTGGAGTTCTTCAAGCACACTTATGGGATAGAAAAGCTGTTAAATGTACTTTTAACTGAAAAGAGGTAAAATTGCAGCAGGGAGCCCACAGATAATGGACAGGCTTTCAAGGACTTGCTCTGTAACTGTCTTCCCAACAAATATTTGGCACAAAATGCTGCCAGGCTTTTCACTGTGATTGTGGGAATGGTCTTCCCCATGGGGGAAATGTGTGATGATAGATAGAAGTTGGACAGAACTAAGTGTACCTTGGTTACCAGTGTGAAAATAAGTGAATGTCCTCAAAGGCCAAGAAAACAATGATCAGGGGAAGTGTCAGGCTGATTTACCATGAGGAATCATAGCAGCTGCAACTTAAATCAAGCTTGTTATACATAACATCTGAAAAAAATTGTCAGAGATCTAGGGGTTTCTTGCAATAGCTTTAAAATCAGAGTAAGAAGGAAAAAAATGGAAGAAAAGGGTAGAAGAAAATGGCAAGAATAAGATTAAGGCTCTTTGTAAGGATGAGTTACTGCAACACAAGCCAGAGAAAGGAGATTTTGAGTTTTGCCTGTAATGTGCTCCACCCCCTTTTCTAGGAGAGAAATGGAGCCAAAGACAACCACTAAAAACAGCCCAAGGGACAACCAAAAACTTTCTGCCTAAATTCTGTGACTATGCAGCCTGATAATAAAGCCAGAACAAAGGAAGCCATAATTTGAAGGGACAGGATGGGGTACAAAACTTACCCACACTCAGGGAATGCAGCAAGAGGAAAAGCTCCTGAGGTCATGAAGAAGGAAGAGGAGCAGGCACCATTCACAAAGAATGGTTTAGTGCCAGAGGGCTGTTCTGTGTCTGCCAGAGAGAGTGGACATTCAGTAGATTAACTCACACACTGTTAGTGTTGCTAATAACAGCACCTCTCTTCCTGCAGCACCTTTCACCACAGAACCCCAAGGTGAAATTTCACTTAGTTAATTATGAAAATCACCACATTTATAAAATCCCAACTAAGCAGAACACTCAGCTGCCTAAATGACAGCCCTACTACAGTAAGATTTTGTAATTGTTTTTTTACAAGCCAGCATTCTTTCTGTGCTTGTCCTGAAGCCTGAGGAGAGATCATGAACGAGATAATCCCCAAGACTTCCTCAAGTTCAACATTCCTCCATCCTTTGGGCATAAACTGTGCAAATTTTGTGCTATCTGGGATGTTTTGTTTGTTTGTAAGGTCTTTTAGTATTCAAATTTAAAATTTTAGTAGAGAAATTCTAGTATTTTAGTATTTAAATTACAAAAACTGAATTGTGAGTGTGGAACAGGGCACCCTAATGCTTCTTGGGAAAGAGATTTCCACCCATCCTCTTCACACAGATCCAAGTAAAGACTCTGCTCTGCCATTCACTCTGCAGATTAGAATCTTTGATGGCTGAAACAGAAATAACTGATAGATTTTATTTTCAAAACAAGTACCTGAAGGTTTTACTGCTATCCCATCCTTTGTTCCAGGTGCTGTCTCTTCAGAATTCTTCTGGTTCAGCTCGTTCTGGCAGGATTTCTGAACTGGAATGTGATATTTGTAGATGTCCATGATGAGGAACTCGTTGAACTGCACGTGTTCATGCCTCTTCAGAGGAGTGCCTTGGTTTGACCAGCTCAGTCTTTGCAGGTGGATACACAAACACTGAGGGAGCTTCAACCATAGTCCATAAAAAAGGAGAGTCAAAAGACATTTTAAATGAAAAGAAACAGCCACTCAAGTTAAAAGCATGAAATGGGTGAGTTGAGTGGGCAAGGGAAAGCATCACTGGACTGATGATGTTAAATGTTTTCTCCCAATGCCAGAAAAAGCAGTAAAAATACAGGTGTGTTCCTACAGAGCTCACCTGTCAGCCTCATCTAGTTGCTGCTCTGTGGGGTAGGTGTGAGGAGTGGAGTTTGTCCAAGTGTAAGAGGTTTGCTAATACTCAGTAAGCAATGGCTTTGCACAGGGAGAACTCAAGGGAAGAAAGGTCAAGTGGTTATAAATACCTGCCAAAGTCATGCCAGGATTTACCTCTATCAATACATATTATTGTTATTATTAATGGCATGTGAAGCTCTTAATTACAGCCCACTCAGTGCCCTCATTTCCTCTGCAATATGTCATCAAAGAACAAAAATGATAAGAGCTTCTAATATAAACTACACCTGATGTTTAGCACCATATTCACTTGTTTAAAACATCTGTGTTTAGAACATTTCTTTGAAACATGCAATTGCTAAAGGTGCTACAAATGTTGTCTCTATCAATCACTTCCCAGGTAATTAAGAATTAATGCCAGACACATGAACAGCCCTTCAGCCAAACTCAGGTTTAAGTGTTTTACTAACAGTAGAATATTCACATTCTTTAAGCTACAAGAGTTTGATGTTTTGCTGAATTGAGGCTTCAATGCCTACAAATATTTGACAAACAAGCTTAATTCTAAAAGTAAAACATGAAAGTCATCTAATAGCAAGAAGGGAGCATCAAGCAAAGAGGTCAAAGAAAGAAATTGCTGTGTAAAAGGATCTAAAAACAGATTTGGAGGGTTAGCTTGCCTCACCTTTCCTAACTTTAATTGCTTGGCAAATGTTGTCCTCTGGTTTTCTATGCTCTGTCCATTCAGAGTCCCTTCTGCCTGAATCTGAAATCAAAGGGAAAAAAAAATACAGCCATTTGATGACAGGCAGCAGTGCAGGTCTGCACACTGCAGGCAAAAGCAGTTGTCTGTCTCAAACTAGGCTCAGGACATTAATTACACCTACAGCTTTCTAGGGACTTTCTCAAGAATTGTTGGCCTGTCCTAGTGGGTCAGAATTCTAAACCTAAATCAGGCAGAAATGAGCAGTTTCAGAACAAGCCCAGTCTCCAGGTTTCTGTGTAGTGATTCTGTGGTGGTTCTGTAGCCAGTTCTGGGTTTCCAACAAGCCACTTTGGCTCTGGGCTGCCATCAAATTACAAGCAACTCTAAAATACTGTTTAAAATACCAGAACAAAACAAATTATCCCAAATATTATCTAAATAATACCTGACATTTACAGGAAAATATTGTGAATTTTGTCACATTAGTAATAAAGTTTCAAAGATAAGCACTCCATTTTTAAATATAAGAAATCCCAGACAAGCTAGAGGCTTTCCTGAAGTCACAAAGAAAGGACTAGAAAACTAAAGCCACAATTCTGTCAGCAGGCTTAAAACTGAGCTCAGTTTATATAAATTAAAACAACTTACTTTAGTGCAGTTGTCACACACAACATCCTTCACAGATTCAGAGGAGATGAAATGATGGAGGCAGTGGTCCAGTGTCATAGGATGACCCTTGGGACAAAAAAACACCCAAACAAATTATTTGCAGTAATTTTAGGGTGCATACCACTTTTTTTTAAAAGGATGTTTCCTAATTTCTTCCATAGAAACTACAGAATTTCAGGCTTCCTTCTGGAGAAAAAGGACTAAATGGCTTTGAGTCTAGCACACTGATAATGTAGGTCTGGGGATTCTTCCTCAGCCTGGGTTAGACACAGAAACCCCTGCAAGCCTCTAGATAAGAACAGCAGCTATGACTCCCTGGGTGACTGCTTCAGGGGGGTTTTAAATTCCTGGCCCTGTTAGTGGTTTTTCTCCAAAATTCCAACACTTCACAGGTCACTTTATGCCCTCTGACCTTCTACCCAGGAAAAAGACAACATTTAATTGGATTTAGGCACTCCCTGCTCTCCTTCCTTCTGGCCTGTAGTACATACTGTCAAGTATGAAGGGGCATAATCTTCAAGGATGGCATGAAACAAAGCACCAGGAACAGACACTGTGCCCAAATCCCAATTTGTATTCTGTAGCTTTGAGTCAGAATTTCTATGAGTGCAAGTAGTTGCTCCTTGCCTGGAACAAAACACTAGCAGACATTAACAAACTGTTAGGGCTCAAAAATGTCCTGCACATTTTGCCCCCCAAATCTACAATGTTTTGTCATTTGAAGTTTTTCAGAGAACTCAAAAGAAAGGGGAACAATTTCCAGTTGAAATCCCTTGATCCAGAGCCTGCATTGGGTAACTTGTGTACTACTGGCACCTGAAGGTCACCTTCCAGCACGGCCAGAAACAGCCCCTGGGATATGATCTGGTCTGTTCAAATTACACAGAAAGGACCAAATAGTGCATCAGGAGAAACAGAAAACTTGGTGGGTGTCAACAAAATCCTGCTTGTTGTGCTAACTTGTAATTTGCACCAACACATTAGCACCGAGGTACCTTATTAGCACCACAGGATCGTTTAGAAAGGCAAGAAAATAAACTGGAGCTGCTCAGTTACACTGGGGCTGGAACATTTTGCAAAGGCAGGAGTGCAGGAGGAGGAATGATGCCAAAGGCCCAGGCAGGCTGGGGGGGCTGTGTCAGCAGGAGGACCTACCCAC